GGAGGCGCCATAACTGCAGCTGATAGAATGTGCGCTGTAGCAGATACAACGATATTTCTTCAAAAGCAGGTCGTGGAGACATTTTAATCGACCACGATCAAAAATCGTCATATCGCACACCCCTAACTACCAAGTATAATCAATCTCACACACACAAACAAGCACAACGAAATCACTTCACACTATTATAAGCAGCTGTGTCATGAACATGCAAAACTGTATCGCACGCGTGCTACAGTGGTAAATTTATTCATCGCACAGCACGTCCGACATATATGTCTGTACAGCCCTGCCTAATGTAGTTTAATTTACAACTACAGTCATTGCATGTAGTCATAAAAAAAATAAAATAAAATTGTTTTGTAGAGACAGAAACTATTTTTTTTTCTTTAAAATGAAAGAGCACGACCAGACAATATTTTACAACGTCAAAACTATTTATCTATATATTAATATTTATGTACCTCTTGTGGTGGATTTAAAAGATCCCGCGTGATGAATATCATACTTTGACTTTTGATCAAGTGGCTTTCAGTAACAATGCCATTATTGCTCCAAACATCGAAACAATCATACACATACGAAAACACACTAAATTAATATATGTATTCAGCATAGTTCCTCACATCGTTGTCTGCTAGGCTAAATGTTCAGACAGCAGACGCCAGAAAAGACGCACAAATAGCAGCAAATGAAAACAATACGTTACAGAAATAACTCTGTAGGCTGTTACTTTAAAAAGCTGTGTTAATGTATAAATAAGAGAGAAACGCTATGAACTGTTTACCTCCTCAGAAAGACTCAACGCTGTGTGAGTGCGCTAGCGGTGACGTCATCAGCGTGAAGCGACAATAATAATTTAAAAAAAAACAGCCAGAGGGGGGAGCGTGACCCAAATGAACAAAATTATACAAGATTGAAGTAAGTAGTAAGTAATTTTTGACTTTATATAGATTTGTTTATTCTTTATGCCCATTAAAGGCAAAATATATTGGGATTATAGTCTACTAAAAATGACATAAGTGGGTTCTTACTCAAAGATCCCAAAGTTTTTTTTTTTTTACCGTTAGGAATGACATTAATTACAATATTATACTCTTTTGATGAAGCCCCCAAAATTTTCTGGAGAATTCTGAAAAATAATAAAACTAGCCATTGTCTCCATCAACTGATTAAAAATACATACATACATGGGCCAGACTTTCACTTTCACTGCTTGCTCTCATACCTTCTTTAAAATGCTTTAAAACCAATGGACCCTTTTCACAAAACTGTGATGACGCGTTTAACGGTCATCAGCATCGTAAATCCTCGAAAGTTTCTCATTTTTTTATTTTTTTTTTAATGTATGTACATTTATAACACTATTCGTTGTATTATATCACCTTTGCATCAAATTACAAAAAAAAAACAGTTAACGCTAATGACGACTTCCGCTGCTGAGAAACCCGGAAATGTGAAAAAGGTCCATTTGGGGTTTTTATATGATACTGGATATGAAAAGTAAAACAGACAGCCAGCCATCTCTTTCAATCTCAGTCAGTGAGGTGAGATATAATTTATTAGGCATTTACAAGCTTTAATATCAAAAAGTATTCATAAAACTTCATTTGCATTTCATAATTATAAACTACATGTTGAATTATAAGACTAAGATTATTGTAAGCATTGCACTTAAAAGTGCTGGATCTGAAGATGAACTGCTTAATCTGATTTCAGACATTTGTCTTTTGTATGATTGAGTAGAGAATTTAACCAAGCGAAACTTTTCCCACACTGAGGGCAGTGATACGGCTTCTCTCCAGTGTGGATTTTCATGTGGCCCTTAAGGTGTCCTTTTCGTGCGAAGCACTTCCCACACTGATCACACGAGAAAGGCTTCTCTCCAGTGTGGACCCTCTCGTGTGTTTTCAGATGTTCTGACTGACTGAAACTCTTGTCACAGTGTGAACACTTGTAAGGTTTTTCTCCAGTGTGAGTTCTCTGGTGCCGTCTCAGTTGAGCACTATCAAAAAAAGTATTTCCACAATCAAAGCACATATGATTCTTCACACCGCTGTGTCTTTTCTGGTGTTTTTTTAAAGCAGCCAGCTCAGTAAAACTCTTTCCACACAAAGAACAAATGTGAGGCTTCTCCTGTGTATGAACTTTCAAGTGGTTCTTCAGGGCATCTGTCCTAAAAAAATCTTTACCGCACTGATCACAGGTATAGGGTCTTTTTCCAGAATGATAACGCAGATGTAATTTAAAGGTGTTTGCCTTACTGAAACTTTTCCCACACTGATCACATATGTACGGCTTCTCTCCAGTGTGGATTTTCATGTGCTCCTTAAGTCTGGATTTTTGTGTGAAACTCTTCCCACATTGATCACATGTGTGTGGCCTCTCTCCAGTGTGGATTTTCATGTGAACTTTAAGACTTTGTTTGTATGCAAAACTCTTTCCACACTGAGGGCAGGTTAAAGATGTTTTGGCTCTTCTTTTCAATAAATTACTTTCAGTCTGTGAGGAACTCAAAGATTTTTCTCCAGTTTTAACAGCATGATGTTTCTCCTCTGCTTCACTCAGTTCTTCACTCTCTTCATTCTCTTCCATTAGGTCTAAAATGAAAGTAAGAAAGGTTTAATTTTCAGTACACTCATTCAGTATGCTCTTTAAGAAGAATCGCTTTATGTATCCCCCAATTGTAAGTCGCTTTGGATAAAAGCGTCTGCTAAATGACTAAATGTGTAAATGTACAGAGGGTAGTCCTGACTGCTGAGCAAATCATTGGTACAACCCTCCCTTCTCTCCAAGAACTGTACTCATCCAGAGTGAGCAAAAGGGCTAGCAAAATCACTCTGGACCCCTCACATCCAGCACTCTCCCTCTTTGAACTGTTGCCATCTGGTCGACGCTACAGAGCTCTGAGCACCAGAACGGCCAGACACAGGAACAGTTTCTTCCCTCAGGCAATCCATCTCATGAACACCTGACAATAACTGTGGAACACACACTATTTATTCACTCATACACTTATTTATCTAACACACATACTCAGTCTACATTTCAATTTGCACATAATATTAATTTAATTTAATTTTAATTTATGGATTTAGCAGACGCTTTTATCCAAAGCAACTTACAGTGCATTCAGGCTATACATTTTTTTACCAGTATGTGTGTTCCCTGGGAATCGAGCCCACAACCTTTTGCGCTGCTAACACAATGCTCTACCACTGAGCCACAGGAACATACCTGTACATACAACTGTCTATTGTTATATACCTGTACATACAATTGTCGATTTGTATATTTTTATTCCTTATTTACTTGTTCTATTTTTAATTTTTTATTTATTTTAATTTTTTATTATCTGTGTTTTTTGTTCTGTCACTGTCATTCTGTTACACTATGGAAGCTTCTGTCACGAAAACAAATTCCTCGTATGTGTAAACATACCTGGCAATAAAGCTCATTCTGATTCTGATTCTGATTCACAAAAGGTTCTTTGTGGCGAAAGAAGGTTCTTCAGATTAGGTAAGAAAGAGATGGTTCTTTAAAGAACCTTTGACTGAAGGGTTCTTTGTGGAACCAAAAATGGTTCTTCTATGACATCGCTGTGAAGAACCTTTTAAGCACCTTTATTCTTAAGAGTGTAAATCATACAAAAAAGTGAGAAATGTGAAGGGGAAGAACATAAAAGTAAACCCTAACGTAACAGCAGAAGACGTCAATTGCTAAACGACGAATATTTTGATGCATTCATATTAGAGATTGGCCGTTATTTGGATTTAACAATATTTTTTCCAATATTTAAGCACTTTGTCCATTCAGTTTCCAAACTGCTTGTTCTATGTAAGGTCACAGGGATGCTAGAGCCTATCGCAGAATCTCAGGCGACAGACAGGAAAACAGCTTTGATGGATTCACAGTGTTCACAGTTAATGTAACTTTCTTTTCTTAAATTACTAAATCACCAAGGACCACAGTTTCAGCTAAAAAAAACTTCTTTACTGTTCTACTGAAGAAAAAAGTAACCTACATCTCGGATGGCCTGTGGTTGAGTAAATTAACAGCAAATTTTCATTTTTGGTTGAACTATCCCTTTAAATTCCAATATGCTAGTATTAATCTATTCTAGGTAAAACTTTAAAAAAAAAAAGCACTCTGAACTAAAGACAATATCTAAATGGTCAGAACCCCTTTGGGGATTGGTCAAACATGAAGAGTTTAAAACTTGATGAAACAAACAAATCATGAGTCTTGGTTTGTCTAATCTACCAACAATAACAAGAAGAAATTGTTACTATTTTGTAGCTGCTTTGAAGCAATCTGTATTGTGTAAAGCACTATGGAATTAAAGGTGACTTGAGTTTCAGGCTCCATTTGATATAGTTCATGGAAAGTGTCCCATATATTATATGCTACTCTTTTACAGCTCTTTTCAACCAAAACATGCATTCACCATTACCACTGATGAACTGACCTAAGTTTTATAACCTTAATGTTCTTTAGCATCATTAATGAATAATCAAGAATAAACACCAACCTATTTGTTCTTCAGCATGTTCATGTTCCATTCTGCAGGGTTCTGGATCACTCTTGTTCTCACTGTTCTTTCATGAACTGTCTTCACTTGTAGACTAATGAGAATATTCCAGCATTTGGGTGAATTCCTGTAGGAGGAGCTTTACTGAAGGTAAATTGCTGTGTGATAGGAGCAGATCTGCTAAAATCAGATAAAAACAAATCAGTTTTTGAACTTATGCTTTAATCAATTAAATGAGCTTTCAGTGGCAGTTTACAGGTGATCTGAAGACATCAGCATAACAAATGAGGTGAAAGGAAACTACCGAGATTAAATAAAGAGGTTTAGCAGCTGTTAACAGAGAAACAAGCCTTACAGGGTTATCACCAGATATAAGATAGAAGACGAAGGAGATTGTTGTTGACTTCAGGAGAGTGCGCAC